AAGTTGTGTTGATAGAACTGCAGTTGTCGGATTTTTAAGTTAGAAATTTGATAGGAAACCCACTTAAAACACACACCACCAACATACACCAACACACGAGGCAGAAATGATGAGAAGCTAATGGGACAGCAAATATCGAACAGCTTTTTATTTATTTTGACAGCTTTGACATCAGTGAAATCAGCTGAACCTGAAAATTTGAGTTGCCTAAGGCTTCCAAGTAAGTGCATTTCTGAGGAATAATTTTAGGAAGGTAGTTGCTGGTCTGATGCTTAGGAAGCTCATCTCCAGACCACAGAGGTCAGTTCCCCTGGACAAAATGGATGCTATGGAGCATGAACACTGTGGTGTTGTACCCTACTGAAGTCCCTGACCTCCCCAGGCTCTATCCCAAGTCTCCAGAAATTTCCCTACCTGGGGCTTGCAACTCTACCCCCCCACCACCACTGGTCAGGAGGGTTTGGGGTAGGGGTGACATATGCTAAGCCATTAATCATGTACTTCTCGCCTCCCGATTGGCAGACATAGAGGAGCACCAATGAATCCCAGCAGGCACAGACACCAGCAAGATTTTTGTGGTATGACCTTTTGAGAGTTGAAGCTCCCTTCCTTGGTCTCTAAAGTGCTACTGGATTTGAGCCTAGCTCTTCAACTGCAGACCAACATGGCTACCCTCCAAAGCAGGTATAGAATGTATCCTTGCTAGACAGTCCTTAAATTACTTCAGAAGAAGAAGAGGAGGAGGAGGAGGAGATTGGATTTATACCCCGCCCTTCACTACCCAAGAGAGTCTCAGAGCGGCTTACAAACGCCTTTCCCTTCCCTTCCCCACAACAGACACCCTGTGAGGTACGTGGGGCTGAGAGAGCTCTGACAGAAACTGTTCTTTTTCAAGAACAGCTCTGACAGAACTATGGCTTGCCCGAGGTCATCCAGCAGGTGCAAGTGGAGGAGTGGGGAATCAAATCTGGTTCTCCCAGATTAGAGTCCGCGCACTTAGCCACTACGCCAAACTGGCCAATTTGACTAGGCTAACAGAGCAGAGGATTTAGGACACATGTTTTCTGATTAGAAACGAGAGGGAGATCTGGTCTACAAAATAAATACCTGATGCTGACAGAATAACAGTGAAGTACATAGAAAAGAGAATGTAGTATGCTGTAGTTTGTATAGGACATCTCCAAGGGCCAATAAGAATTTCCTTGAGTGTGAATTTATCTTAAACTTTCAAATTGCCAAGTCCCTAAAGCATAAAGAGCTGCAAATTCTTTTCTGTGGCAAAGGGAATGTGACTGACACATACTTGGCCACAGAGTTATCTGAGTTCTGATAGAGCTATTTAGCCTTGCAATTGTGTGTGACCTGAGAAAAGAGCAGTAACTGAGTCTTACCAGGTTGGGAATGGCTTCCAATGTTTAAGGGGGAAGCCCAGATTTGTTGTGAACTGAGAGATATTATATAGCAAGCTTCCATGCTAAAGCAGCCTGAGTATGGGGGCAAGGGTAGGGTAGGGGAAAATATGGTTCATTTGTGATTTATTAGCAGATACTTGAAAATATTAGGATGTGAAAAATACTAAGATGTTAGAGTGCCAGACTAACATCTCGGAGACCCGGTTTTGAATCCCTACTGTGCCATGGAAAGCTGCTAGGCACCCTTGGGTCCGTCAAACACTCTCAGCCTAAGAATGGAGAAGAAGAAAATTATGGAAGCCCCTTTGGGTCCCCATTGGAGAGAAATGTAAAATATACTTGGGGGTCATGTAAAATATACTTGGGAGAAATGTAAAATAAATGTCATTTTTGTCACACTGTCCTGTCCGCGCGAGCTGTGCCAAGCCAACGCCTCTAGGTGTGAGTCAACCAGTCCGTCAGACAGTGGAGCAGTCCCTCAGGCAGTGGCAGAGCAAAAAAAAACACACAATACCTTGTTGTTTTTAAAGATGAATGGCTGAGCAAAAGCCAGTTCAAAATCTGGCTTCGTAACAAGACTTTGAAACAGCAGAATGTATGTGGTGCCACCACAGGATATCTGTGCGTTACGCGGGGAAAGGTGCTCTAATAAATCATGTGAAAGGTATGAAGCACAAAGAGGTGGAGAAACAGTATAGATAGACACTGCCAGTGACCACCACCTTTGAAAAACCAGATTCCTCACAAGCTAATCAGGTTACTGCAGCTGAAATGGTAACAGTGCACCACAGTGGCTACTTCCACAATGTCATTTTTGTCACACTGTCCTGTCCGCGCGAGCTGTGCCAAGCCAACGCCTCTAGGTGTGAGTCAACCATGACTACTGAGAGAGCTTAAATCATCTTTATTCAACTTCTCACGCATTCAGAAATCAGTTACTCACAGTCGGGCTGATATATCTGGGTGGAAAGTTACATCTTGTGATCTAGGTTAGTTCAATAGCTGCGGTGAGAAAGAGATGGACTTCCCCTCGCCTTGCAGTAAGGGTTGAATGGACAAAGAAACGGAAAAGAACCATGAAGTCAGGAAATTGCTCTTAATGAGCCAGTCAGAGGGAAGCTTCTGGGACCCCTAACTGTGAACTACAATTCCCAGGAGCAACAAGTCTTAAAGATACAGCGCAGTTTTACTAAACTACAGATAACGCTGACTGGGGGAGCACACACACATTTCTCCCAATTGCTTCGGGGGTTCCCCCACCATGTGTTTTGCTTTCTCTAGTAGTCCCAGAGGGAGCAAAACACATGTGGAAAGGGGGGGGCCCCAAAGCAATAGGGAAAAATGAATGACAAAAATGACAGTGAGGAAGTGGCCAGTGTTATGCAACATCATAGTTACGCAAGTCAAGACTGCACAAATAAACTGCTGCCAAGAATGTTGCCTGATTCTGGCATAGCAAAAAAGATGTCTTGTGGATAGACAAAAGCCACCCGCTTTGTGGAGAACATTTTGGCACCAAAATCCATAGAATTGTTGGGATGTTACACACTTTTTCTCAATAGGATGTGACGTCTCCAACAAGGGAAACAGGAAATTCTTTCCTGTGACTGTTCCGTTACTTTTCTGTAACAGAGAGAATTAAAGAAGGATTGCTTGACTTTTATAATGACAATGAGGAGAGCAGTGAGGCAACTGCAGCACAGCTCTGCAGTGTGCTACACGACAATGGTCTCAGTTTGGACAAGGGTACCATCTTACGTTGCTGACAATGCTGCAGTGAATTTTGGGAAACACAAGTCAGTGTTTCAGAAATGCAGCTTAACAAGGGACTGATAAACGTGGGCTGCAAATGCCATGTACTTCACAATTGCCTTAAAACAGGGAAGACAGCACTGAGTTTTAATGGAGAAGTCTTTGTCACACAAATATACGGCAGGTTCTCATGCTCGGTCAAAAGTACAGACTCCCTGAGGTCCTTCTTTGAGTTTGTAGATATAGAGTATAGGGATCTGATTTGGCATTGCCCAACACAGTGGTTGTCACTTATGCCTGCTGCTGAATGGGTTCTTCAGTGCTGGCATGCACTGAGGGATTCCTTCCCGTCATGTGGGGAAGAAGAATGTGAAAAAAATTGTGTGGGATGGATTCAGTTCAGAAGAAGAGTCATCTTCTTACACAATTTGATGGCATTGTTCAATCCCATGGTGAAAAACCCTAGAAAGTGCCAATGTTAGTGCCACGGAATTCCACAGTTCTAGGGAAGATCTGTTACAGCCATTCTGGTCAACCTCTCTGCATCTCAAAGGGCAAAATTCCAAACAGAAGCAGACCAGACATTCTCAAGGTGCATTGACTACCTTGAGAAATGGTATAATTTCGATACGTCAATTTACAAAGACATGGCACTGATCTTGCTTGACAGTCCTGTGATGTGGGATCCGTTAGTCTTGTCAAAGCTCTTAATTTTGGCCCTGATATAATAGACACTGACAAGCTGTTCAATGATTTCTGCACAAAGCTCTTAATTTTGGCCCTGATATAATAGACACTGACAAGCTTCTGCATTGTGTCAAAATGCCAAAAAGAGATTTTCTTCCAGGGAGAGAAGATAGACCAGAGATGGGTAAAGTTGTTCAGGCACATTCCAGACAGTGGTGAAAGCTATCTGCTGAAGTTGGTCTCTTTTGCACTGTCTGTCCCTGTATCCAATGCCTACTGTGAGAAGTCTTCAGCTTAATGACACAACTCTGGAGTAAGGAAAGACACCGGCTGAGTGATACAGCCTTTTCAAAGCAGAAATCCAGGTGAAACTGAATTTCAGGGTGCACTGTGAAGAATTCTGTGGGACCAGAGTTGCTGAAAGCAGCAAGAAGCCAATATAAGTATTGCTTTCCTTCCTGAAAGCAGAAAGCGGTATAACCATGACAGTTTCTCTTGTTTTGTTCACTTGTTTGTCATGTGCTGTTTGCTTGGGTTTTTGTTTCATAGCAGGGAGCTGCTATGGAGGTTAAGATCTACCCATCTTGGTTAAATCTGTATCGCAAATTTGTTACTGTATTTTATTGTAACTTATTGTCTGTAAATTATGTGTTTATTGTTGTAACCTTGGCACATGGTGCCCTTGTCAGCCGCCCTGAGCCTTCGGGGTAGGGCGGGATATAAATCCAAATATAAATAAATAAATAATTGCTAAATGTTTGAATTAGAGTATTTTATCGTAAAGCTTTTTGTTATTTTTCCACTGGAAGGAGGCCTAAAAACCTACAAGTAACATAAATTGGGGGAAAGGTGGGGGTGGAAAGAGATATAAGGCAGTGCGTTTAAATTTGAATTTTGAAAGGAGGAGGTGACTTCAGAGGAAGAGGCCATCCAGATCCGGGCCACCTACACAGTCTAATACTTGTAGTAGTTTCACAAGATCAGCATTACAAAAATGACACAAAGTATGTTTTTGGGGTAGACTGGCCTAGTTTCTTAAAACTCCGATTTCAAAACCTTCAGTCGGCCCAAGCTTGCTTCGGCGGGGAGGGCGGGGTATAAATCAAATAAATAAATAAACAAATAAATTCTACTTTTATTTCTACGCACCTGATTTTCCTAGTCTGTATACCTTCTCCACAATGGAGGGAGTTTTGCTCACTGTTAATTTCACATGAAGACCAGGGTTCTGTTTCCCAGGAATATTGATTGCAGTCACTGTAACATGGGGTTGCCTCATACACCTTCAAGGGGGGAAAAAACAACAACATGCAAAATTATACATATCGACCACCAAAGAAAGTATCTCCAAAGAAATGGTTATCAAGACCACATTTTTTAAAAAATTCCTCACTCTTTCTCATATACACCCTACTGAGAAACATTTTGACTTATGCTTCTTATAAGCAAATATACTGTAGCACTAAACCTATCAGTTCATTAAGGTCTAGTAAAAATGTGCAGGGATGCAAAAATTAACAACCCAAAAACTAAAACAAAAATCCCCAAAGATAACATGTATGCAACTTCTTAGAAAAGAGAAAAAACAACAACCATTCTTTACTGAATTACTGAACAAGAGTTCCATTGCAATGTCATTGCTACTAACACCTTATTATATTATGATTTTAGTATTGTTTAATTGTTACATGTTGTTCTTAATCGTATTTTATGTGTATTGTTAAAATTCTTCATGCTTTATGTAAGCCGCCCTGAGCCGGCTTTGGCCAGGAGGGCAAGATAGAAGTCTAATCAAATCAAATCATTGTTCTGATGGCTCACACAAAATTTATCAGATACCTTCTCCTACAATCGCACAACAGATTGCATTTTTTAAAAGTTATCTATGGCACTAACTGACAAAAAATCCTTCCTTTTATAGATTTTATGTTACCTTAATACTTAACTTACAATAAGAAAATGAAACATTACACACCAATTTGTTTCTATGCTCAAGACACACACAGAGTCGTAATTGGTTTTTCTGTCTTTCTTACCCAAGGCCCAAGGACCACTTATTTATAAAAAGTCTCTAAGGGCAAACCACAGCAGTGACACATGAACTCTGCTTTCTATACATAGTAAAAAGCAACCAAGAGGAATAGACAAATCATCACCAGCTTGCCTCCAAACCTTATTTTAAAAATGCAATGCTTTGTTTAAAAATTGTGACTGAATAATGTTTTCCAGAGAGGATTTAAAAATATGGTGTACACGATTCATTTATTTTGCTTCCAGGTCTCTGAATGTAGACACTAAATTCAGGTTGTCTGCCTAGTTATAGGCAAAGTGCAGACAGAATCTTCATTGCTAGTCAAAGTAAAGCATAATGTATTGAAATCAGGGAGAAAATAAAACAACAATGCTTGCACAGTTCAGAATGCGGAAAGGTTTCATTCCTAAGCGACTATCTGGAAGGCATTTAATATGGTGGGGGTTGGGGGGGATTTTACCTTCCCATCGTTGCATGGTTTGCCTCATTCTTTGACTGAGAAAATTGTGGCTCTTGGTCTTTTCATATTATATACTATGATCTGCATGTCGGGAGTTTTGTATAGGAAAGCACAACAGTGTCATTTTTCATTAGTTTTAGTTTTCACTCTTAGCTTGTTGTGAGTATTTTCACCCCATCTATGCTCTTTGCCATTGTCCCATTTTGGTTGCTTCTTTTGGAACTCTTTTACTAACCCCCATTTTTATGGTGAGGGTTGCCAACCTCCAGGTGCTTTGGAGGGCAAACTTTTATATCTAGCTGATGTCCCTCCCCTTCCCAAACCCTGTCTTCCCCAGGCTCTACCCCCAGTCTCCAGGAATTTCCCAAGCTGGAATTGGCAACCCTATGATGGCATTTATATTTTACTAGGAATAAAGCCCGTTGTGGAAATAAATACAGTAAGCTCTAGAAAGAGGCTCTTGGTGGGTGCCCTGGCCTTGGGCACTCAGTGTCGATTTGCTGTGGTGATCTCAGCAGGGTATAATGACACAGAGCTTACCATTTTCTCCAGGGGAACTGATCTCTGCCATCTGAAGAGGAGTTGTAATTCTATGTGATCTCCACCCCTCACCTGGAGATTAGCAGCAATGGCTCCCCAGGATGAAATGGTTGGTTTGGAGGGTGCAGTCTATGGTATTGTATTTGTCTGAGGTCCCACCCCTTCTCAAATCCCACCCTCTCCAGGCTCTACTCCTCAAATATCCAGGAATTTCCTAACCTGGAGTTGGCAACCCTAGCTCCTTCTCAGCCAACCATCAACCTACCTTTATCTGCCCCTCTGACTTCAGCTTTCCATCTCCTCCCCCACCTGCAGCCTCTACCTAGGAAAAGAAGTCTTTCTCCGCAGTGGGGACCCATGCAGGGGGGAAGCAACTTCAGGAGGGTATAATGACACAGAGTCCACCCTGCAAAGCAGCCGTTTTCTCCAGAGGAGCTGATCTGTGCCATCTGAAGAGCAGTTTTAATTCTGAGTGATCTCTAGCCCTCATCTGGAGATTGCATCAAAACACAAACACTCCGTGAATAACTTATGAACAGAAGTAGAAAGAATATATTATCCAAGACAATTTTAACAATTCATAACAGTTCAACTATTTCTCCAATGCAAACACTCTTATAATTTCTTAAAGGGTTGTACTTAATACAAAAGACAAATTCCAAATAAAGTACACCAATCTTCTGTATAAGATGCTTCAGGAGAGCAGATGCTTCAAAAAAGTGAAAGTTCCACAGAAAAACAAAAGTTCCACGTTAAGAGAGTAGCAGCTATACACTGCCGGCTTCAGTGCTTCGTTTGCTTCCTGCTTCCTCAGATAGCTGATACTCTTCTAGCTGTGAAATCAAAAGATCATTTAACAATTCTCCGTAGACCAGTTTTCCAAATCCAGTCACCCCATAAACATGTTGTTCTTTCTGTTGACAATGCTTCTACAATACAGTGAAGCATCTGCTCTCCTGAAGCATCTTATACAGAAGATTGGTGTACTTTATCTGAAATCTGTCTTTTGTATTAAGTACTGTTGGATCCTAACCCTTTAACAAATTATAAGAGTGTTTGCATTGGAGAAATAGTTGAACTGTTAAGAATGGTTAAAATTGTCTTGGGTGATATATTCTTTCTACTTCTGTTTGTAAGTTATTCACAGAGTGTTTGTGTTTTGATACAACCTCCTCCCGTGAGCTCTCTTTTGGATATAACTCACCTGGAGATTGGCAGCAATTGTTCCCCAGGAGAAAATGGCTGGTTTGGACAGTGCTATGGCATTCTGTTCAGCTGAGGCCTCTCCCCTCCCCAAACTCTGACTTCCATAGACTCCACCAAAAAATCTCAAGGAATTTCTGAACCTGGAGCTGGCAACTCTAGTCAGGACTGGCCCCAGTGAGTTCCCCACAAAGGCCAAAGTAGGCCTGGAAAGGGCCTTTGCCTTTTTACTGACAGAACCAAGCTTGGTTGCCTAGCAACAGCCACTGAGGGAAAAGATAGCCCCACAGCAGGAGGAGAAGAGAATGGCTTGACAGCCGGTAGGCCATCTCAGTAGCCAGCCTGTCACAGAGGAGCAAAGCAGAAGAGAGAGACAGCTGTCTTTGCAGCTTATTCTGTCAAGAAAGAGTAGTGTCCAGACTGACAGTGGGCAGGAGAAAAGAGTGGACCTAGCCCCCAGCCAATGGCATGCGAGTATTGAGTGTTGGTTAATGGGCCAATGGCTGATGGAGCACACAGCACAGCCAGTGGGAGAGCTAGAAAGTGCTAACACGTTAGGGCATTTATATATATCAGATACCAATTCCACGACATTTCTATGCAAAGGCATGTGTCAGTTTTACATAGAAATGGTGTAAAATTGATATAAGCAGACTAGTCATGGAATCTGGTAATTTTGTGAAGGGGGAGGAGTGACTCCATGATGGAAAGGAAAGAGGGGTTTTCAGCTTCACCATTCTAGGATAAACCCACCACAAGGACTATGCATTTTTTCACACTACAGCTAAACCCACAATAATCATGTAGGATGTTTTTGGCACATGTAGCTAAAGGACAAATCATATATTCAATTTCCTTCAGCATTTTGAAGTGGCATAGTGCCACATGGGTAGCAATGAATGAATATTTATCTGTTCTCATCCCCTTGATTGCGGTTATGTTGACACATCTCATTTGATAGGAAACTGCATGTTGTACTTTCCCAACCATTTTATCCCAAATTATGAGTATGTTTTAAATACAGCAGTGATATACCACTTCCATTCAGCTGGCTTCCCACACACTACACTAGGGTTGCCAAATGAAATTTACCAGCTGGCGGGGGGCTTCCGGCTGGCGATCCCGAGTTTTCTCCTCAAATGGCTGTGGCCCCGCCCCCAGCGTGCCTGGCGTCATGATGTCACGTCTGGGTTTCCCCCGGGGGCCGATTCCGTGGGGGTGGAAATCGGACCTCCAAAGCGGGGGGAAATCCGCCCCCCGGGAGGATTTGGCAGCCCTACACTACACTCATGATTCTCTGGTGGCTAAATGTGGGAACTGCAAAGAGAGGCATACAGAAACACTTGTTTATATTTGTTCCAGTTTGTGCTTGCTGTGTTTTTTGCTCTGTAGCCAGAGCAAGGAAGTGGAGTGATTTTAAGGTCCTGCAAATCCAGATGCACTCTTCCACTTTTACGACACAGTTCTACAAAGCAGAGGTAGGAAGAAATGCATCGCTGCCTGCCAGGTTCTGTCCTAGGTAATTGTAGTCCAGCTGGAGAAATTATTTTCTGGCATGTATAATTCTCTGGAGAGTATAAACCAAATGAGGGGGAGCTGTCTGTCATGTATGTGTCAGGGAGGAACTGCAATTTGTATGTAATTCCATAATATTTTCCAAAGGGAGTTTTTCTTCTAACATGAAAAGCAGCTGTGTTTGGGCAGGAAAGGGCAGTTTAACCCTCTCCTTAGAAGGTTCTAAGGGCAAAATAGGGACCCATAACCTGAAAACAACTCATTTTCATCATAAAGAAAGCCCTTGGTCATTATATGTAATATGTAGTTCATCCCCATATGTTTGTTAGGATCAATGTTACAGTACTGGTTTTTCCATTTCAAATTTCTCTCTGTGTCAAAAAAAAGAAAAAGAAAAGATGTGGGATCTAATTTTTAAAACAACTGATTTCAAACCAAGTATTTTTACAGCATATAGAGAAATGAAATTATTATTAAGTATGCTACAGTATCTGCTGCATCAGGTCACATCCTACTAATTCGTTAAAGCAGGG